TTCTGTTTCTTCTTCCTGTTTATGGTTCAAAGTCAAGTTTGAGGTTTTATTCTCAAGCAACTGGAAGTTAACCTAAAAAATAACGAGTGTCTATGCTCATTCCTTTTCAAACTTCCTGAAAACCAAGAAACTCAGACAAAAAATTCAAAGGTTTTATATGTTGGAACAACCCCAAGACAGGTTAGAAAGCTTCATGAAAATGCATCTGAAACAAAAGGGTGGGTGGCAGTGCCCTGCACCCTGTGGCATCAGAGCCAGCTCAGCATCCAGGGTTAATGTGGCTCCTCTTTGCCAGCTCCTTCCTGGGTGTCAGAGCAGGAGATTTGTGCTGTTACAATCACAGGTTGGAACTCACTTGAGACAGAATGTGAACAAGATTTACAGGTAATATGCAATGTTTCACACACCTCTGAGTGCAGTGTCTCTGAATGGCAGCAGAGTGCATGACCTGGGAATGTATTAGAATGGGAATGGGATAAATAAATATGAAAAATCTTGTGTTTGGAGAGACCAATGCCTTGGGTAATCAGTAGTGATGGAAAGGAAAGGAAATACTATACCAAAAAAAAGATATATATCCATTTTCTAGGATCTGCTTTGTTATTTTTTTAAAGCAACTTTTTTTTTTTTTAATATCTTATAGATTACCAAGCTGTTCTCAATGTAAAATGCAGGGTAGCACATTTTTTTAATCTTGAAAAGTTAAAACATATTCTAAGGTCATTTAATCAATCCTTTGGTTGAAGGGTAAATGCAAGTCATGAAAGAAGCTCATGAAGGACAGAGAACTTTTTATTTGAAAAAGGGAGAAAAAAGGTGGTACTACAGAGGTGATACTGCTAGAGAAGTCAATTTATCAGCTGCCACTAGTTGACCTTATCAATGATGAGAAATTATGAGTATAGCTTTCTAAATTTTTTTTTAAGAATTGCTTTATCATGAAATTTATAATGTAGAGGTGATGAACACCCTACCCTTACCTGGCTGCTTTGAAGCGGGGCTTATTATTCTGTGGGGTTAGATGGGTACTCCCTCTGGTTTCATCACTTCTCTTTCTTCCTCTTCACAAGAGAATGGTGAGATACCCCATCCCTGAGCACCCACATCCATTCCAGAGACACCCCATCCTAGGAAGTGTTCAAGGCTGGGGTGGATGGGGCTTGGAGCAACCAGGTCTGGTGAAAGGTGGCCTTACCTGTGGCAGGGGACCATGTCAGCTTACAGGTCCTTTCCATCCAAAACCTTTCCAGGATTCCATAATTCACCTTCCATGGTAAATGAAGAAAACAATGTCTCAGAACTTACTTTTTTTTTGTCTTTCTACTGACTGCCTGTTCATGGGATGATACATTTAAATGTCTTTTCAATTCACTGTGGGACATTACTGGGGTCGAGCAGGGCAATAACAGCTCCCTGCACTTGCTGAGCCTCCCAGACAGCCCTGAAATACTCAGTTTTAAAGCTGGGATAGATTTGGGGAGGGAAGAATTATATTGCATCAGTTTTATAGATGTTTTTGTTCTGCTCTGAATGCTTTGAGGCTTCTGGTGACTTGGAAAACTGGTTTAACAAGCAAAAGCCATCTGAACTAAGTCAAAATATTTGAAAATATTTCGTCTGCTTTTTCCCATTGTAAATTATTCCCATTCCCTCTGCCCACCCCATCCACATCCCAGCAAACCTGAGCAGGAGCTCAGCAGCTGTCAGTGCTCTCTCACACCCTGTTAGCACAGGACAGTGGCCTGTGAGCAGCTGAGCAGCTCCTCATGCTCCCAGTCCGTGCAGTATGGAGGGGGTAGGGACACATCCCAAATACATCTCACAGCTTCCAACTGCAGCACAGCACTCCTGATTGCAAGATGTGAAGTTAGAGGCTATTAAGGAATCAAAGACTCATCATTTCTTAATGCTCCAGGGCTTTTGCAGCACTTCTAAATACACCCTTATGAAATACACAAAGGAAGTGCTAGTGCATAAGAATGCATCCATAGATATAAAATGTAACAGTGAGATCCTAATGTACTAAATGTATCTGCAGGGAAACACTAGGAGAAACTGTGAGCTGCAATAAACACACAGAAAGTCATTCATTTGTTGGAGAATTCAGTCTACTTTTTGTAGCACCAAAAGGTTCAGTATTAAACATTTAATGCCACAATCACTTTTTCCTTCCTACACCTAAACACTTTTATTTCTTAATAATGTTGTAGTTATATATGAACTTACTGTGTGTGCAGGTTCTAATACAGGGTTGATAATTCCTCTCTGTGCCTGACATGGTGATATGGTGGTAACCTGAATTATCTCTGATAACTTTATTTAAGCACTAGAAGTCAGAAAATAGATTTTAAAAGTCACAAACTGTGCTTTTACCAATATAAGCCCCTCTTTTCAAGAAAAAACAGATTTGGAAAGGAAGTTAATGATATTATAGTGTTGCACCTGTTTGTGCAAGGGGTTTGGCTTATATTAATTATTAATTAATTAATTAATTTTGCTTATATTAATTAAATATTATATTTGTATGCATTGGAAAAAAAACAGATTATCCTTGAAAAGACAATTACAGAGCACACACCAAGCATTCAGAATATTTGTATGTGATATTTTAAAGGAAGTAACATACTTAAATAGGGAAGATTATATTGTCCTGTTTTTTCCACAACTCCATATGAATCAATCCATCAAAGTAGCCATCCTGCTTTTATTGATCTAAACTCAAATTCAGTTTATTTTAACTTACAAAAACTGTTATTAAGTTGCCCCAGTGGAAGTATTTTCTGTATCTCATGCAAATGCAAATACCATTTGAACAGGGTTGCTGTCTTTTCTATTAGCAGTTACTCATGCATCTTTGCTTTCTGTCAGGAAAGGTCTGACTGACCAAAGAACAGGCAAATACTTGGAATGGGAATTTTTGAAAAGATATTTGTAATAATGTATCGGATAACTTAACCAGCTTTTCACATAGTGTAGATGCCTGACACCAAGATGACAATAATATCTGAGATGCTTTTGATTATAGATAATGGATTTCACATCATCTATGGATTGATTCTTTATAATTGTTCATACATTTGCCCATTGGAGCAGCACAGCCAGTGGAGCCAGGTTATGATGGTGGATATGTCTGCATGCTCTCAGTGGAAGGTCCATGCTTTGGGAAGGGTTGCATCTTGCCAGTAAACTCCTTATTTCTCAGTGCTTGCTTTCAATCTGCCTTAAAACGTGTCTAAAAACTAGGGAAGCTATCAAAATTCTCTCCCTTCTGCAAGAACTGACCTGCCACTGAGAGGTGAGGCATGAAGATGCTTCTTAGTGCCAGAAAGAAGATTTTGGAAAATATTCACGAGCTGACAGACGTAGTGCCAGATCAATCCCTACTGCAAGAGGCAGAGGCTGCTTTGTACTTCTCTTGAAGGGTGCCAGCTGGCATTGCACGTCTGCTGAAGAATCACAGCTTCCTTCAAAAAATGTTCAAAGTGTGGTGTCTGGAAAGGAAGATTCCAACTGAAAAGCACAGGCACCCTGAAGAGGCAGGAAATGTGAGATATAAAGAGCCCCAAAAGGTTTGGGTTTAGAAATCAGTCTATCCACTGATCAAACAACTCCTGCTTGTAATCTCTGAGCGCTGGGCAGGGGCTGGCAGCAGCAGGTGGATGTGGATGGTTCCTTGTTGCACTGGAGCTGCCATGGATGCAGCAGGGAAGGAGCAGCATCAGAACTTCTGTGTGTGGATTACCATCTTCCTCCAGCACAAAGAAATCAGGACCAAAGTTCTTGACTCCAAGCCAGAAGATCAAAGTGATGTTCCTGTTTAATCTGACCCTCCTGGTGGGTTCTGTCTTGGCAGAGGAGGCAATGAGCTGCCATCTCCTCACTACACACGCTGCTGCATGTCTCAGATGCCAGGGTGGCAGCAGGCAGGACCTCCCAGAACAGAGGACCCTGGGCTGCAGGCTGGTTTCCAGCTGCACATTGGAGCTTTAAAAACAAGTCCTTGTGTTTTCATAAGCAGAACCACTCTCCAGCATGCACCTTGTTGTATTGGGTTTGTGCCACCCTTCCTCAAAGTTGAATTTTCCCATAATATTGCAGTGAAATTACTCAAAGAGTTAAATTTAGCACATTTCACATGTGGAGATGATCACACTAAAATCATTCTTTCAGCTCATGAACTGTTATTAAATGTATTCACCTCAGTTTGCATAGAAACACACTCTGAAGCTGCAGAAAGTCTGAAGGTTTGTGGAGGAACAAGAGAAGCTGCTTCATGTAGCCATCAGTGGTGTGGTTCTCTTAGCTATAATTTGGTAAATAAATAATGAATTGAAATTAATTCCTAAGCAGGGTGTTTGTACAACATACTCAAGTGCCAAAAATATGTCTACTAAGTCAATCCTTCCCATCTGTAATCAAAAATTGAAACAATGCAAGAGCAGAGCTAGGAAGATGAAGGGGATGAAGAAAGATACTTGTTAAGCAGTTACAGATCTAAGCAGGTATGTTTGAGAAAAGGCTTTTTGTCTTCTTCCTTCCTAGGATATTGTGTGAGATAAGTGACAAAGACCTTCAGTTCTTTTTCATCAAGTCTCAAGGCTGCAGGGCATTTTCTAGGAGCCAGCACAGATAAAGGAAACCTTAACCCACCCAAATATTAGCATTTCATGCATCTGAGGTTTACAGGTAGATATTAAATTCCCCTATAAATTAAACAGCTGGAAATGGCCATCTTTTTTATGTGCAAAGAGCACCTTGTTAGCAACAAGCACCAAAGTTCATATTCTCAGATGGGTCACTTTACATTGCTCTTAAATCACTGCTCATTTTCACCCTGCATGTTGATTTATGAACTTTATAGCCTACTGTTCAAAATTCAAGCTGTGTCCCCAGGCTGCATTGCTGTCAAAACCTCTGAAAAGGTAGTCTCCATTCATGTAGTGTTTAAAATATTGTTACTAAATAATAAGGCACCTTTTCCTGTCTTTTGTTCCATTCAGGATTTTGGAGAAGATGATTCCCTCTACATCACCAAGGTAACAACTATTCACATGGGCAATTACACCTGTCATGCCTATGGCTATGAAGAGCTGTATCAGACCCATATCCTTCAGGTGAATGGTTAGTAAATAGCATATATGACATTCCATGAAAATGTTCTCTAAGAAAAGTTGTGTGTTAACCTCATTCACACAGAGATGTGTAAAGCCACAGCCCAAATTATCTGTGCACAAGAGCAAACACAGCTTAGGGTTCCCTCACTGGTGCTGTCACACAAGCAGTCAACAATAAAAGTATCAAGGGGGGATGTATATAATTACCTGGGCTTCAGGACATATCTTCACTGTAAAACAAGCTCTGTCAGTCACATTTCCATAGAGGTAAGAGCAGTGTTTCGAAGCATCTCTTAAAGTAATTACTACTTTTGTCAACAGAATTGCCTCAATAATTTCTTCTTCCAGAAAATCATTTCTGTTGCATGAAATAGCTCAGGATATTTAAACAAATACAGCAGTGTTTCCAAAACCAGCTCACTCCCAGCTATACATTCAGGTTATTACCTGGTTGTACTGAGCTTGGTTTGCTGAGGGCTATTTACCCTGGCTCACTGGATTGCAAAATGAAGGCAAACCATTTTACAGGTGAGAGAATCCCACTGTCCATATTCCATCATTCTCATTCACCTCCATCCCCTGGATGACATCTGTGCCTGGTGGAACTTATATTCAGGTGCTCACTATCTATCTCTTGACCTCAAACTCACGCCATCAGATTTAGTTTAAAATTACATTAGATTAAGCCAGCATTTCATCAAGGGACCAGCCCAGGGAGTATCCACCTCCACAGCAGCAACCAGCAATTTCCAACTTTAGACCCATTTTTACATGTGCTGAAGATGCCCAGCAGTGTCTCCAGAACAGGGGACAGGGTCATCCATTACTCACTATGGGTACATTCTGGTATGAAATGGGATGTACCCTGGTATGAAAGTATTTATTTTTAAGGAAAATTCAGTAACTTTATTACAGGGTAGAGAGGAAAGCTGGATGGAGTGTGGGGAGGGAGTGATCTGTTCCATACTCACGCTTCCCATGTAGATTTAACTTGTTATTGAAAGATCACATTTTAAATGGAAGTTTCATACCATAGCTGTGTGGGGGTTTTCTTACCACAAGAAAAATGCTATTAGACAAAAAACACTATCTATGTGGGATTTTTAATGTGCTATATGGTCACTAAATACAGAAAAAAATGCCTTGCATTTTGCTATCAACTTAGGCGTGCTAGAAAACATTGCAGGGTCTAGAAATCTTTGTCTCACAGCATCTGATATTCCCATGTGAGCCATTAGGCTTTGCAAAGCTGGGTTTTTGCAATTTTTGATGTGGCTGCCCACATAACTAAATTCCTTCCCTTTCTGCCTGTGTCACAGTTTCCTCCAGCAGCTGATGCAGGGGTGACAGCCCTGATGGCAGGACAACGTTGTTTGCCTTCAAATACATTGGAGGGTTCCCAAGGCAGAGCCCTTCACAGGGAAACCTCGGTTTTTAGTGACTTAAAGGACAAATTGAGGAATGTTTCTTGACAGGAGTAGAGGGAAGAAACTGAGCCAAACTGAATTGAGTGAAGATGCTGAGAATCGAAGTGTAGTTGATGGGCTCTGTTCAGCACTGGGACTTGTCTCTGTCTCTCTGTATCAAACTAAAAACTCCATCTTCAGCATGGGAGGGTTTATGTTGCTTTCCTGTGTTGGACTAAAACAGTAAGAGAATGTGACAGAGCCCAATCAGCCAGAACTCGGGTGTATCTGCTGGCCTGTCTCCTCTAGGGAGGCACTGATTTACTTTCAACATGAAAAACATGGGGGCTTTTTATTTCATTAAAATTATCAGAATTTTTCGTTTCACACCTCCCAAGTGTCTGTTGGGAGAGAATAGAGAAAGAAGAACCAACTGGAAGTAAAAAGGTTTATCCCCAAGCCCACTGTGTCTGTGCAGGCAGGTTCTAATTTTTAGACTGTTTTTCAGTTAACTCAGTGTTTTCAAAGCTGCAGTAAACTCTTCCAGCATCCTTGAGTCCTTTTCCATACCACCTGGGCCCTGTCTCACTGTTCCCACTGTCCAGCTCACAAAAGAATCTGATCCTAGATACATGTGCTCGCTTCCTCTTCTTTTATCCAACATAATAAATGCCTTTTAACTCATTTTTTTCTTTGCCTCTGTTTGGAACATAACACTAGATTCTTGCATTGATTAGGCAATACAGAAAATAAGGAAATACTAGCTTAAATAGAAAGCTTGCAGTCCAATTTTGACATCAATTGTTCCTGTGTTTTGGAGCTCTACTACAGCTCAACTGCTGAATGCTATTCAGTGTTTCCCTTTGTATCAGCTGGTTCTGGATATCCCACATAATATGGGTAGATCCAGATACTTATTTTGACAAGCAGAGATGAGAATCCTCTTAGACAGAAAATGTGAAGATCACCAGGTGAATGCCCCAATCTGCTGGCTCACATCTGGGTAAGAAGCATGAAGTACATGTGAAATGCAGCCTGTTTGATGTGAGATGTTTGGTTGAGCTCATCAGTCTTAGGATTCACAGTTACTATTAAAATGTAAGCCAGTGTATTTATACAGCTTGCCCTTAAGATCTTCAGAGGAAAAGAAATTTCTTAAAGCAATGTTTAAACTGCTTAAGAATGAAAAGGTTATCTTGTGTTCCGGTATCTTTGATAGGTATCTTGGAGAAGCCAAGAACAGTAGGAAAATTTTATGTTCTCTCCCACATATGGATATTTCTTGGGAAATTTGTACAGTATATATTAGCTGTGGAGAGGAAGCAATTCAACACTTTAAAGAGGAAAAAAAGAGGTCCTGAGGATAAAGAATCTGATAAAATAGTAATCAACTATGAAAATTGATAGTTGGAAAATCAAGAGACTGCTGAGTGTAGGGCATAATTTTCCTTGCTCTCAGGAAAACATCAGCATTAATCGGTATATTGTATTCCTTGAAAACAGTTTTTAAAAAGCCATTTGATCCTCAGCCCAATTATAAGGGTCCAATAGGACAGATTTTCCGGTAAGCAAGATGTTATGAACACAGATGTTTCATTAATGTGGCTTTTCAGGAGAAAACATAGAATGCTGCAAACTCCTTTCAAATCATAAATGGAAAGAGTAAAACACCTTGAGTAAATGATTAATCTTTTAATTATTGCTATACCCTGGAGTATGGAGCTCCTACAGCAGCAATGGATGTCTCTGGGCCTTGGTGCCACCATCTGTGCACATCGTGTGCTTTATCACCTGAGCTGTTTTCTAGTAATGAATTGGTCTGCTCACAAGTGAGGTGATATTCAGCATGCAGTAGTAGGCAATCTACCCAATCTCGTGCCTGTTCCAATGCCTCTTTTTTCCTGCTTTGCTTAAGATAATGGCATTTTTATATTGCCCTTGGCTGCAGACACAGTAATGGTTAGCAATGATATGTATTCACCAAGGGAAAAAGCAAAAGGTAATCCATATATCCCAAAGTCTGGAACTGAAATCTTTGCAAGTTTAATGTGCTTACCTGGAATGTATTAATTTGTAGCAAGGACAATAAAAATATATTCTACAGTTTGCTGTTATCACAAGGCATTTGCATGCAATAATTTACTTGTGCAGGGGATTATATAAGACAAGGGAGAAGAAATAAAAAGTTTAAAAATAGAAGGAGGAGAATGATGAGAGCAGGTATAGAGATGAAGCACATATTTTTGTAGGTGAAAACAGTTTCCTTATTAATCACTCTTGTAAAGACACCTTGCTATAATTTTAAGTTGATTTTCATGCAGACCATTGAATCAGTGTCTAGGACCTGTGGGGTACATTTGGCAGCATAAATCTATTGTGTTTTCAGCCCTGCAAGTAAAATAGGTGGATTATTCACATGCAGATTATCAAAGTGTGAGGCAAAAATGTGAGAGATGGAAGTACAGTCTCTTTGGTGAAGGGGTGCCATTCTGGGGAGCTGATGGCTGTGGCCATCCTGAGAAGCACTGACACAGTGCCCAGGTGAGCAGGAAAGCCTAAAGCAAACAATTATAAGGAAATAAGAACCCACAATGGTTTTAAGAGTATTAAATAGGTGATGACTGGGATGGGCTCTGTCTCTGAGAGCTGGCAGGTAAGAAGACACTTGACTTGGAGTAAAATTTCTCTGGTGCCTTTGACCATGTGAGATCTCAGCCAAGTCAATTGATTTCACCAGGATTTGAAAATTAGACCTTCTTGAATATTGTAAATCTTTTTCCTCTGCATGTGTAGGAGGCACACTGTCTTTCAGCTATGAGTCTAAATAAATCATGCAGGCCATCAATGGACCTCCCTCACTAAATCATTTCATTAAAAAAATGTTACTAGAGCAAGCAGATCACAGGTAATACAAGCATTGAGTGCGGGACCTTCATAAAATTCTGTCAAAGGATACAAAAATTACCTTTATCCTATCATCCCTGGACACACTGACTCAGAGAAATTTAAGTTAATTTTCTAAGGTACTAATGAAATTAGGAGCTCCTGACTCTCGGCCTTATTCTGCTGAATTGCTGGGGCACTGACTTCTAAATAAAACAGGGGTGGCTCCACCAGCCACCAGCATCTCTGGCAGCAGGTCCCTTCCTTGGCTTGCCTTCCCCTTGATCTGGCACCTCCTGAAGTCAGGAGGAGCTACAAACCTGACAGTAATGGGGAGGAGGGAAGATAAAATGCTAATAAATGCTTTTACTTAGAAATTGAAAACACTATAAAACAAGTCTTGTCTTTTTGGTAACCCCCTAATTAAAAAGTTCTTGAATGATATTTCCTCCACTGCCCTGCACCTTGAAACATCTTTTCTTCTCAAGTAAAGGAAATAGAAGACAGGAAACTAAACCCACAGGTCCAGTGCAGAGGTGGAGTTCAAAGCCATTCCTTTGCTATTTTTCTTTTCCTCTGCAGTTGGCTGTAGGCATTTTCTCTCAGATTACACTTCAACAATCTCTCGCTTTTAAAGCTGTAAAACCCAAGTAGACTTGAGGGCTTTCTGTCGTGGCTAATTTCCTTCCAAGCTGACAACTCAGCCCTGGTTAACTCTTGGCAGTAGGTGCAGAAGACAGAAGTGAAATATATCCCTCTCTGGTAAGGCACATAAAAAAATAGATACAGAAAGATGGGAAGTATATGTTAGTGAATGTATTTATTTAAACTATCCCCACATGGATATGGTGACACATAGCTGCAAACACAGATTTCATTTTATTCTAAAGCAATTATTAAGACAATTTAATTTTGATAATCATGGTGCCTAATGATGTACTATGTAAAAGCTGAGCAGTGAGTTAGATACCTCAAGCCACTGATTTCCAGAAGTTTATTGTTAACTCATTCAGGCTTTCTTTAAAAAAAAAGTCAAACACAACCCACAAATTTTCCTGTCTTTCACCAGTGCCAGTAGCAGCTATTCATTTCCCTTGGGGAAGAAGTTGGGCCTCCCACATACCACATCCACACTGGAGTCTGGCCATGGTTTTACAAAACTGTACAGCTTTCAGCAGCTACATCATGAATCCCAAAATCTCCTAATCTGATAGAAAAGTTGAGTGCTTCATTGAGAAACACAAATACTATCAGCCACAGTATGACACATCCTCACTTTTCTTTTTATTTTTCCCTCAAGGTGAAAGAGTCTCGCTGGTATCTTTCACTGATGATGCAATATTGTAATTTTTTTAAAAAATGTGTGAGTAAATTGTTAAGAAATAGTTAACGGGTGGTATTAAACCTTGTTGGTTTGAGCAATGAAGAAAGGATGATTGAAAATCGATTAACATCTCTGAAGTTGTAATATAATTACTAGTTCTGCCAATGGAGTATATTAAATAGTTCAGGAGTGCCTTCATGAAACAAGGTAAGTTATGTTTTGAAAACCTCTCAGTGAAAAGAAGTAATTGATTAGCCCTTTATTTATTCAGAATAAGAGGTAGTGAATACACAGGCTACTTCCTATGGATATTCAGTTAAATACTGAATATTAAGTTATTTCTTGTAGGCAAAATTCCAAATTTCCTCCTAGATTCAGTGAAGATCTGAAATTTATACTTTGATTTTTTAAATATGTGAGTACCCACATTAGGTTTTAATCCAACTATTAAGTTCAGTTAGTCATTGAGTGGAAGCAAGAACAGTCTAAATATGGAATTGGATCACAAGATTGCTCCCTGGCATTGGTATATGAGTTTACTCTTTTCTGTTATAGAATCATAGGATCATAGACTGGTTTGGGATGGAAAGGACCTTAGACACCATCTCATTCCAGCCCCCTGCTGTGGCCAGGGACACATTCCACTAGATCAGGTTACTTCAAGCCACATCCAGCCTTGAATATTTTCAGGGATGGCGCATCCTCGGCTTCTCTCATTTGCCAGTGCTTGGAAAAGTATTATTTTCTATTTTCTGCCCCCAAAGGCAAGCTGTAGAGAAATCATTCTTGTAGCTTGCACTGACAGCCACACCAAGAACTCCCTGGTTCTGAGCTGAGAGCCCCTGGTGGGGCTGGAGCAGTAGCGGCTCTCGAGCCCCAGCGCGGCGTTTCAAGTCCCCAATTCCTTGTTTCCCGCAGTGCCTCCAGTGATCCGTGTCTACCCCGAAACACAGGCGCAGGAGCCGGGCGTGTCAGCAAGCCTGAAATGTCACGCTGAAGGCATCCCTAATCCCCGAATTTCCTGGCTGAAGAACGGCATTGATATCATGCCAAAACTATCCAAACAACTATCGCTCCTCGGTAAGAACAGAGTTTTGATTAATTAAAGTATTGTAGACAGGGATTAAGGAGGATTATTTTGCACTTTAAATCAGAAGTTCTTGTACTTTGCTAAGCCACAGTTGTTGGAAATCGTGTTATAGAACCCCTGTTCTTTCTTTTTATCTCTTTCTCCTGTGAATTTCCTGGGAAATTCACTATTGATTGATATAAGTGGTAATTACATTCTGTTCAAAGACAGCCTGCCTGTTTCTTCACTGCCTTGCTTCTTGTGTACAGCACAGCAGAAAAGAAATGCATTAAATTATTTGAAAATAATTTCATTAAATTATTTGTTTACATCTAAGGCCACACTGGATGCAAGTCAGCTGAGAATCAGTCTCCCACTCGGCTCTGCTGAAGGAATTGGGCTTTTAATTCCTCTGTGTCCCTGTTTGAATGAGGGTACAACAGGCATAGCAAAAGGCAAACATTTATTTGCAGTTTTCTGTGTAAAAATGTTAACCCCGTCCTCAACACATGCCCCAGTTTGGCTTTGGTGGATTGTAGCCTTCAGCCTGTGTTGGTAGCACTGATATCACTGCATGACACATATGATGCCTCAACATGTTCCAAAGGTTTTAGGCTATGATCCCACTGCAGAAAGCAAAATGGTAGGAAGAACTAAAGAGACCCCTTTAAACCAAAATTTTTGGTGATCTGATGAAAGACAGTTTGCAAAATTGAAATTAATTTTTCTTCACTAAAGCCAAAGCATTTTTCTAACAAAAAGAAGAAATAAATGAAATGTAATTTATAGTTTGCCTTGGGATTGTTCTTTGTTCTTTTCTGGTGTGAAGTGTGTATGTCCTGATGGAAAGCAGCAAGACATCAGCTCCCATGAGAATCCCCAAAAACCTCTAGTTAAATAGGGGAAACACAGTGGGGTGGAGCCACCCAGTTGAGCCATCACCATGCAACTGTGGCGATAGAAGACAATTAAGGCAGGGAAAGCAATTAGCAGCAGTGAGGAGCACTGTTGATGAGTGTCTCTCTTACAGCAAATGGAAGTGAACTTCATATCAGTAGTGTTCGGTATGAAGACACTGGTGCCTACACCTGCATTGCTAAAAATGAGGTGGGAGTGGACGAGGACATATCTTCCCTTTTCATCGAAGATTCAGCGAGAAAGACTCGTAAGCTCAATTTTCCATGTATTTATTTCTTTAAATAGTGTTTGAATGTGATGGTATACATGTAATTTAATAGTTCAGGCTATTGCAGGCAGTAAGTTGGATCTTACTTAAAATAATGACAATTCTGAATGAGCTTTGACCAGACGGTCAGACACTTTTTGGGGTAGGAATCATGCAGAGAAGGTAAAATGTTGTCGAGGAAGATGGAATTTTTCATGTTCCAGAAGAATACTGGGTGTATGATGGGTAACAGCTTTATTGGAGTAACAAATTGGCAATAGTTTCAGATATCAGGGAATCCAAAATGTAATATTTTGTCAAATTCTATAAATCTCATTGATTTCTATACAAGACTTCTTTTCAAGCCATTTACCAGTCAAAATTCTGGAATGTTTAGATATCTGAAAAATGTTGTGATTAAATTATTTATTTTACCTGTTTTCATATCACTGACTGGCAAAATAGGTTTCCCTCAGTGTGAAATTATCTTCTACTCAAAGACAAATATTCTGCCAGCTACTCTTCCCACATTTCCCATCGGAGTGCAGCAGTGTTATCTTGACCACACTGACCCCAAAACAGAATTGCCAATGGAGCTGATCAGCTGTCCCAGTAGAAAAGCTCCCAGAGGCTCGGTCATTCCTCGTTCTGCCGTCTTAACTGCCTGGGAGATTACCTGGGTTTATGTGATATTAAAAGTCTAGGTGCAAATGGGATTTTTGCTGCTTTTCTGGCTGCTAATATAAAGCAAGAATTGAAAACAAAGTAACCCATAAATACGGGCTTTCAAGGAGAATCTTTGGAAAATATATTCTAGTCCTCATTAACTAGATTTATGTATTCTTGTTAATATTGCTCGTTTTCCCTTGAATACTTGAGCAAGGGAAATTGCAGTATGTTGAGAAATAATTGGATCTATCTGGAGCAGAAATTCAAATGCAGGTACATTTTCACAGCTTCTGTGAATCCTGAAAGAGTGCAGTTGCATGAAATTCCAAGAAACAACGCAGCCAAGGGTGTAGCTGCTGTAGATGCCAGTCTCAGGTTTCTTCTGAAAGATGCTGGTGGACCTGGCAGTGCTGGGTTAATGGTTGGACTCAATGATCTTAGAGGGTTTTTCCAACCTTAATGATTCTATAATTCTGTGTTGTGTTTCCCTATTGAACCTGCACAGAAAATCACAGGCTGTACCGTACCTCTCCAGCTGCATTTGAAGGTAATAGCTCCTCTTTAGTAGGTCATTGATCTTTGCACAGCTGCTTTCATTTCAGGAAGGATTTTTCCCATGTCAAAGTTTCTGAATTGTCTCTAGAAGGAGCAAATGTATTTAGAACTCTCTTGTCTTTCCTGGTATTTTATTTGAATGAATGTTACAAAATTTTCACCAATTAAACAGTTCATGTAAACATAAATATTTACTCAGTTAACTTGCTACAATGAAAGTTTTGACATTGTTTTGTTGTTTTTTTTCTTTTCCTGATTATTTTCTGGCTTTCCCAATATTCTGATGCTGCAGTTGCAAACATACTGTGGCGAGAGGAAGGTACTGCAGTAAAGTTCTTTTGTCATAGTGATAATGTGCTTGTCTGCTTTAATAATTCCATGATGGGCCATTCTTCACTGACTTGCCACTAACCCTATCAACTTTCATAGTCACCAGATCAAGTACAGACCAGACTTTTAAAAGCTAAATTATTCAAATAAGAGATGTCCCTCTTGTACCTATAACTTCTTGCTTTTCCCACTATGAAATAATAGATGACCATAAAATATATAAAAACATGAATTTTATATATACTTCCAGAAATGTGAGTAGCCTGAGATTCTCAAGCTGCATTAGCAATCACACAAGTGTCAGAAGTACTCCCAAATTACCATAATTGAACAACTAAGGCATAAATTCAATATACTGCATTTTTAAGCAAGTAATTCAAGCTCTTCCTTTTCAGTAGAATGTATTGATGTTTTCTAGGTGAGCAACAAATTGTGTTCTTGATTGTTAGGCAAAACAAGAATCCAAACCACCACAGGTTTTCTTCCCTCTATCCTTTGAATCAATGCAGGGTAAAGGTTGCTCCATCTCTTCTTGTTTTAATTGGCAGTTAAGAGTTCTAGTTTGATCAAACTTACAGTGTGCCCTTCACAAGGTCAACAACTGTGTATCTTGGAAGCCAAAGTAGAAAAAGCCCCATCCTGAGTAGCTAATTGACTCAAAGATATGATAGAGGCACTTAAAATCACCTCATTTTGTATATGCTTGTGCTGTCATAATTTCCAAAATACTCAGTAAGAAGCGTCATGCACCAGCCCAAGGGGCTCTCACACAGGTTGTCCATCTGATTCTGTAGGTGTGGAGCCCAGGTGTGTAGAGGGGACCCTGTGACCTTGGGCTCCTGGAAGGATGTGAGCAGGACATCCACTCACTGGAGGAAGGTTCTGAGGTTGAAGAGTAGATGTAAACCAGTTCTTACATTTGCCAGCTGCTTATGAGGCAGCTGAGACCTTGGTGTCCTTCAAACTGTGTGAGAAAGGTTGCTGTGTAGTGAAAACTGCCCTCAGCCACGTCCCCCTGCCCCCTGCAAACACCCAAAGTCCCTCAGGCTGCTCCTCCAAGAAGGGCTTCAGGCTCAGTCTGCTTGTGGAGGGTGCAAAGGCTAAGTAGCACCTCCAGGAACCCAAAACAACAGCTGGGCTTCCATCTGAGGCATGAAACTTTCTGGGTAGCTTGGGCTTAGACAATGGATTTGAGGGACAGGAGGAAGGTGCCAAGGCCTGGTGACCTGAGCATCCTGAACAGGTGGGAAAACAGCTGGTGCACACTGTCAGTGCCACTGTTAGCCACAGACACATACAACAAATACACTACTTTATTTCTAAAGTCCCAACCAAAGCCAAATGCAGCTTGTAGGTCAGAGAGGTGGCACAGTCACCTAGGAGAGCTACTCCCTTCTCCCTAAATACCCCACCTGCTGGTTTCTGGTGCAGGGCTGTGAGGAGTCTTCTCTGCTGACATTCCTGCAAATGGTATTATGGACACTAAGAATTGCTGTTTCCCTTCTGCTTGGAATTGAAATCTCTAATGCATCTCATCAGTCCAGCATCACCTGCACAATGCTTCATGGCTGTTTGTATACAGTGTCCCTTATATTCCTTTTTAAAGAAAGCAGTTGGATAATCCTACCAGATGTCGAATTAGATTAATATTTAAAGAACAGCTGAGAAGTTGGTTGCAGAAATTCTTATTATAATTTTGCTAAATAAATGGATTTACTGCTTATCAATCTTGCACATTTTAAATAAAAGTATAAGCAATGTTGAGGCAAAACATGGCCAGTAAAGCAGATTTGCTATTGATGTTCCTAAACCATTCAGTATCTGTAAAGCAGATTTATCACCTTCCTTGTGTTGCTCTGTAGCATTTGATGGGCACATTCATTCTAGAATATGCTTCAGCATGTGAAATCTTGGCACAGAGAAAGCCAGAGGACAGGAATGGTATTTTTGGTTTTACATTTTAATATAGTCTTTCAATTCCTTACTATGTGCAAGCAGCAATATTAACAAATGCATTGGTACATTTGAGCTCCCTTAAAATGATCACAACTTCATCCCCAAAAGGTCTGGAGTAATTAAAACCTTGGGAAAATGCCTAAACAAAATATGGTGTAGGACAAACTTTTGCTGCAAGTCAAACTTTTAACACAAGTATTTGGTAATTTTAAAAGTCAGTCTGACAGTTTGTTCTTAAAAACTTTCAGACCACACACAAGCAGCACCTCAAGAAATAAGTGCACGTTGAGCAACCAGCCAGTTAAACCTGGGGCTGGAAGCACATGCAGTATTTACTCAATGTACAAATAGTTTTTAATTTTGTCCAGAGAAAACTATGAGTAGCCCAAATATAAAACAGAGGTTTGTTTCCATGACAGTGTTCAATTCTGTATCAAACATTGCTTACTTAATACCTGGGGAAAAGGAGCATTTTTTGCCAGCAGGGAAGAAAATGTTATATATACACTTAAAAAGCTGAAAGCCTTTTCATTACCAAATTTAAGTTCTAAAATATTTCAAAGTATTTAGATTAAGTTGAGGAAAATTATTTAAGTATAAGATCAGAGGAGACTATTCCATGGTGAAAAATTTGCCCTTTGATCTCAAAGGAAGGAATGCATAAATATACACTAATGGAGACACTGAATTTCTCAGATAAGATCTTGTTGATATCAAGTGTCCTCCTGAAGTTTTTTTGTTAGAGCCAACTTCATCTGGAGTGGATCAAATAAGAACTTACATTTAGGAAATCTTCCCCATTCTTAATGGGCTTTTTTTATACTAGGGTTTTTTTGCTGTACAGGTGAGGTATGTTGCCTTTCATAATGCCTTTAGGTTTTGAACTAGTTGTGTCATCTAACCTGAAACATCCTCAATTCAAAAGGAAAAAAACCAAATCCTCCTCATCCTCCTCCTAAGTCCCCAATTTCCAGTCTAGTCCCAGTTTCCAATTTAGTACCTGCCTTGCTACAATAAAAAACACAGAATACCTCATTGCCCACCTCTGTACTGAAACAATTTCCAATTTCCTGCACCAAGGAGTTGCATTAGAAAAATCAAAAATTGAATCTGTTTTACTGATGTCCATGAGATTCTTTAGGATGCACCCCAACCAAGATTTGGCAAATGTTTCATAAGTCACAATAAAACACCTAGTTTGTCTAGTAAAATCCTGCTTTGTCTAAATATCAGTGTGAAAATCAATCTCTGGGGGAAAAGTGGTTTAATTTAAACTGACAAACTTTTTAAAAAAGAGAGTAACTGAATGCTCTCAGGAATTTGTAGTATATTTTAATCAGTCTGCAGAAAAACTTGGACTCATTTTAGTGTAAAATAAGTAGCACAACTTGGCCAAGTCTCAGACTCTAAACCTGTTGGAGTAAAACTTTTAATCAAAGTATTTTTGTGGGTAATTAAGGTCTTACTTCTTAAATACACCCTCATTGTAATAGGATCATCAGACAAAATCACGCTACTCTTGTGCATGAAAATATTAATAAGCATCTTCACAGTAGTCATAATTGATTGCCTGCCTGTTTTCACTTGTTAGGATTAAAATCCTTTACCCATGAAATATCAGCACTCATTCCAGGCCAGGGTCATATTCTGCCCTCTGATGTGTTCATCAAATCCCACCAAAGCAGGTGGGAGTTGTGTGGATGCTGGGAGTGCAGATTTTGGTCCAAAGTGCCTGATTTACATGTTTTACCAATATACTTGGGGAAAAAATAACCCCTGGTCCATTAAATAACTCTCAGTGGAGCTTTGTTAGCTTTTTTCCTACATGCATGATCCCGCTTTGTGGAATCACATTTGAGGATCACAACTCTTGCAGCCACCTGATGTCCTAACTGGGGGATTTCTGTGTTGTGTTCAGAGACTCAGCTGTGTCAGTACAGCAGACACCACAGGCTGACACATTGTACTCAGAAGCTGTTTATTTGGCTTCAAAAGAAGGGGGATTAGCAACAAAAAAAAACCTTCTAGCCTTACTAAATACAATGTGTTTTATAAAATTTTCCAAAAATATATTTGTCCTAATTATCTATATTTTTACTGTCAAGTTTCCTGTGATCATTCTATCCTGCAAACAGTTAAGGAATGTGAAAAAATTCTATCTCTGTGAGCAGTATTTAGAGCTGCCACCACAGGACCAGCAAAAGAAATTTTTAACACTGAACACTGTTCAGAGACATAGAATGAGGACTTTATTTCTCCAAGGGAAAAATGGAATTAATTAGAAGATACAAATTATAGCATCACCATATTGTTGGCAGATAAAGTACACTATCAACACTTGCTAGGGGTGAGAGTGGTCATTGCAAACACTTACTGGTGGTGGTGTGAAAAAATGTAATGATTGAATCTTTGGAACTAGAGTGTATGAAAGGATTCTGAACACTGTATCTTATCACTGCAATTCCATTTATCATGACAGAAATGATAAACACAATCTCCTAATGGCAAAGCAATGACAATCAGCCAGTTTTCCAAATCTGGAATGCCCCGGTTGGGTAAATGAGTGCTAATGCAATGCTAAACTACTCCACATTTGTGAATTACAGTTTGCAAGATTTCAAAAATGTATTTATTTTGGTGGCTGTAGTTAGTTCTTTCAGATAGTTTAAGAAAATCTAGAAATCTTTATTCATTCATGGTACGGATGATAAACACTTTCATTTAACATCACAGTTACCAGAGGTCAAGTTACCTGTAACAGGATGACCTTCACTTTAACTAAAGCTTTCCCTTCAGTTCTCAAATTATTGTCAAGCTGTTTATAAAGAAAAAAAACAAATTCATTATCTGAGAGGAGTAGCAGTGCAACAGAGAGGCTTCTTGGGATCAAATCCTGCTTTGGTACCTATTTAGAAGACCCAGGCATAATTACTTGGGTACAACCACTGCCACCAAGGCAATGCATTTTTGAATGTGTTTGTACCTCTTCACACCTTGAAGCCCTTGTTGTGACATGAAATTTGACTCTGTGAATGCTCCAACTGCATCCAAATGATCAACTTTTATGTAAGGCAGATTTTGTTTGTTGGGAGAGGAGGATGAGTTCTTTTAAAAAGTCCTAACAGTTATGGATACATACCAAAAAAAAAACCCAACTCCTTCTTCTTTATCCCCCCTTTAAGGCCTGAGTGTTGGGAATATGTTCTATGTCTTTTCTGATGATGGGATCACAGTCCTTCAGCCAAACGAATGTGAAATCCAGAGACGTATCAGGCCTGAAGAGAGGATTTTCACAAGTTATGTAAGTCCTAAAACCAGCAGCTACAGCTCATAGCTGGGAAACTTTCTCTTAATCTCTTCAAAGGTTGTTATTTCTAAAGGACCTGTTTGCCGCAAGGGTGTTGGGGCTTGGTGGTCTTCATGCAGCATCCCTGAGGTGTAGCATCTTCTCTTGAAAATTGTGAAGATCCACGTAAGTTCTAAGGATGACATGGAGGATTTACTGACACGCTGAATTTGGCTAGTTATCACATAAGCAAAGATTTTCATTTGTCCTTTTAATCTGTTTACGTATCCATGCCCCAGATTTTTAACTAAGCTTTAGGGAAGGTACAAAATTCGATAGCAGAGAGATGGTGCACATCATTCACTGGTGCTCCTTTTACTGATGGCTCCATAGGCAAAGTGAGCTACTTTGGGCTACTTTCTGCTCTTTGGAAGTGGTTTGCCATGTTAAACTGCAGCAGGGAGGCAAATAAAAATGCTCAGAAAATAGCTGTGCCATGGAGGCCCTCTGCATCTTCTGCCACTGAAAAGGAGACTCCACTGTTAATGTTTGCTGTTGGCACTTTTCTGTCAGCAGTGAATTTACCTAACCTTTGCTTTAGGAAATCACAAGACAAATGTTTTCAGGTATCAGGAATGTCAAGAACTGTCTTTTGTAGGCAGTGGAGGTCAATATGGCCAGTGGGGTAATACATGCCTGGAGGCTCTGTGAGGTCAGCGTTCTCAGTGACCTGTGTTATGTACTCCTGCACAGGAACATACATCAGGCATATCTTCATGAAACTGACAGTTCTAAAAAAAAACAAAAGGTGCTGGAATACATCCAGAAATGCTTTTTTAGTCACTCCTTTACTTACTTTCTAATTTTTAAAAGGGGAAGTTGAAAATGTGACTAAAGAATGTGGCTCTTCTGAAAAAAAGGGTCAGCCTTGATTTCAGTTTTGAGAGGAATCAAATGGGAGAATCACTGTCATGAGCCCTGCAGGCTGGGTCAAGCTCTGCTGCTACGGGTCACAGTAGATTTTAATATACCTTAGAAGTCCAGACTGATGCTCACCCCAAGGCTAGTCCTTACCATGGACTTAATACTATTAAGCCACACCTAAGCTTTACAAACACAGAATCCTGTGTTTCTTTTCTGAAGAACTGTAAATATTGAAGAGGTGGTCCTGCAGAAACAGATTGAAAAGAAGAAAACAGAGGGCACTTAAGGAAATATTGTCAGCACACTGGTTTGCGTAAGGGATTTTTAACATCACTTGGCTGCTCTTCAGAGACAGCTCTGAGGGATTCCTACAGATTTCAAAGGACCCTTCCCTTGATCTAGGGAGGATTCACATTTTTTTTCCTCCCTCTTCCCTTTTACTATCTTGAGTGTTTGCTACATAGACAGTGACACCAGCCTAACTTTAGGAGTGGATCTACAAAAAAGGTTGCTTCATTTGCTATTAGAGGGCACAAAAGCAGGTGGAGCAGCTGCAGCTGAGCCCTGTAGCAGAAAGACTGGTGACCTTTCCCTGCTCCCCTTGGCTTGGGTGGATGCTGTGTTGTGGGAGCGGAGGATGAGGAGGGCAGTGTGGAGGCTGGCAGGTGCCTATCTGCATGAATGCCTGCTGGAAGCCCAAGCCTGAGCATCTGCATCATCTTCTAGCTTGTAGCATAGATTCCCAGCCTGGCTGGAGGAATAGAAATGAAAATGCAGACAGGTTATTGAGCCTTGTATCTTCAACTTTTACTCATGGTCTCCACTAAGACACTCAGCCAGCAGAGCTGTGCTATTTAGAGGTGACAGCTTTCTATCCATGATTGTTGCACATGGTGCAGGTCCCTTGCAACTCTGGATTATTCTATTCTATTCTATTCTATTCCTACTCTATTCCTACTCTATTCCTACTCTATTCCTACTCTATTCTATTCTGTTCCTACTCTGTTCCTACTCTATTCCTCCAATACAGACACAGTGTTGACATTGTTTTTTGTTGTACCTCCTCTTTCCCTGAACAAGCTCAGATGCCTCTCCAATCACATTTCCCTTAGGTAGGTTAGGCCATTATTTAATATTACCCAACACAAGGTCTGAAATCAACAGTTGTGCTCACTGAAATTTTTATGTGTTCATTTTACCCCATTTCCTTCCCACAGCCTGGTCCTACACAAATGCTCTTTCAAATAAAGCATCCTGACAGAAGGAAGAGTGATGAGGAGTAGCAAACATGCAGAGAGTTGTAGGTGAAACCAAAAGTGACTCTTCAAACTCAGGGTAGCTGTACCAGTTCTGCACGGGACTCAGTGAGTGGAGGATCGGAGATAAAATATGGCATCAGACAGCTGTGAAGGGAATTTGGCACAAAGCATCAGAATATGGTTCCTTTTGAACAGGGGCAGTTTCTGTAGCTGTAGGATCCTGCTTGTTTTGCTTCTGTTTCCTTGAGCACAGGTGTTTTAGAGCATGCTGTCCTGCACAGCAAATGAAGACTTTATGAAAAATATAAAGCAGTGACTAAATTAATATAAATCACTGTGTGATTTACAAAGCACAGAGTGATACTTCTGTTGCTAATAGATGTTGACAGCACTGCAAGTGTTGATTCAAAAGATCAATCCATACACTCTGTGGTTATTTACATTCAATACAAATGTGCAGGAGGTCCAGCTGTTTAATGTTATTGCATAGAGCCAGGTTGAAGTGTCATATCTGATAAATTAATTATTTCATGTTTTCCAGGAAAGAAAGGGGAGAAATATCATACTAATGGATCATCCCCAGGGATTTTTTCCTGCAGTTTTAAAGGCTAAGCTTCTTGCTGTTCCAGGCCCTGAACTTGTAAAAATTAAACCTTCTCTTTTTTAACCCATCAGGAGGAGATCTGTCCTAGAGTGGAAGATGAAGACACTCAGTCCTGCCTCTGGGCTTCAGCAGTCAATGTCAGAGACAAGTACATTTATGTGACACAGCCAAAGCAGAACAGAGTAATAATAATTGATATCCAGACTCAAAAAGCCATACAGGTACTTAAAAGTGAACATAGTATTCGCTGATGGCAAAAGACTTGATATAGGATGAAAAAATCAGATCTTTGCCCAGTGGATCTGCTGGGCAAAGATCTGCTGATCACTAAGGAGCTTTCACCAATTGGATCACATGGGGGTCACTGTTCTTTAACCTCACTGGCAGGAATAAACTCTGTAGGTTGTAGATCACAGTCTCAGGGCTGCATCTGCAGCCAAGCTTACAGTAAATCTAGTAAAAAATAACACTGGGATGAATTCCTGGCTTAGCTGCCTGACCTGGGTTATAAGCAGCTTGGAAAGAACGAGCTGATGTGGGTACAATTCAGACAGAAATTGGCCCTTGATCTACTGGCTATAAGTAACAACATAAGATGGAAGATGGAGTGATGTCTACCCAGAAAATGGTACCAAACAGCCAAATTTTTCAACTGCTGCTGATCCCCCCCCCCTCCTTGATTTGAAGGCAAAGCTGCACAGTGAACATAACAGTGGTGCATGAGAATGCCTGCAGTGAACTAATGTAGTATTTGTCACGTGCATTTGGGTCACTGTGTAAATAACTCTCTGGATTTTTTTTAAGTCTTTGGATGTGGACCCATTACCAACCAAATTACATTACGACAAGTCTCACGACCAAGTGTGGGTGCTCAGCTGGGGGAACATGAGGCAATCATCACCCACACTGCAGGTAAGTCTTTACATTTTGGATCCTTTGCTCTTCCTGGGCTCAGCATCACTGGTAACACACTGGTGGCTGGTGGGTTGCAGCTAATTAACAGCATTTAATGGTCTGGATATAAAGCTGCTGTTTCATTTGTATATCCAGCGACTTTTATTCATCCCTCTTCTGTCCATCCTCCCATATTTTTCCTGCCATTTAATTTGTTTTTGAGCAATGACTGTGCCACAGGCTGACAGTAGGGCTGCTTTGTGCCAAGGTCTGTTTTGTTTTAAGACTGGTGACAGAGCCAAGTGCCATAAAGTTTTACAACAAGGGCTGGCAGCTTGCTGTGAGCAGGAAAAGACTGCTGTGCTCTGCAGCACTGGTGAGGCACCTCAAATCCTGGGTTCAGTTTTGGGCTTTCACTACAAGACAGACATTGAGGTGCTGGAATGTGTCCAGAGAAGGGCAACAGAGCTGGGGAAGGGTCTGGAGCAAAAGTCTGACAAGGAGCAGATGAGGAAGCTCAGGGGGAATCTTTTCAGTCTCTGCAGTTCCCTGAAGGGAGGTTGAAGCCAGATAGAAATCAATCTCTTCTCCCATGTAACAAGTGATAGGACAAGTGGAAATGGCTTAAAGTTATGCCAGGGCAGGTTTAGGTTGTATTAGTATTAGGAAAATATTAGGAAAATTTTCTTCACTAATAACTTTCTCAAGCCCTGGAACAGGATGCCAAGGGCAGTGGTGGAGTCACTGTCCCTGGAAGGATTGAAAGGTCCTGTAGATGTGGCAGTTGGGGACATTGTTCAGTGGTGGGCTTGGCAGTGCTGGGTAAATAGTTGGATTCAATGATCTTAGAAGGATTTCCCATCCTTAACAATTCTGTGATTCTCTCACAGTAAAATGCAAAAAGGGGTTCTCTAGGGCATGAAAAAAAAAAAAGCAAAGCAGGAGAATTAAAACCTTGGGGACAAATTGTGTTACTGGGCATTAGTGATTCCACAGCAGGGGTGCCAGTGATATCCTGGAACTCCTCCATGCTCAACACCACCAGACCCACAGAGACATTGGGACACAGCATTGCACATGAGTTTGGACAACTTAATTAGCTTCCACTTCTGGATCATTTTGAAAGATTTACTCTTCTGTTGACAGTACAGAGAACATGGAGAATGTCATCTAGTGGGGCATTTTTCTGCTGCTGTATGTAGGTTGTGTGACAGAGTTGGCACCAATTGAGGGATCTGATTTGATCCATCCAGACATCCCATTCTCTGGTAGTTGTTTTCTGGCACTTGCTGCCCAACCTTTCTGGAAACAGGTGTCATGTGAATACTCCTGCCAGAAGTGTTTGCTCCTAAGTCTACATTACAGCATTCCCCAGCAGTCAGAGAAGAAGGGGAGCTGTGCTTTCTGATTTAAAAGTCAACAAATTGGAGTCTGCTTTAATTGTGGGGCTACCCAAGGCTTCTGCTGGAGATACTGCCCCATGAAGATGGGAGGAGCCATCCCTACCATCCACATGCTCTATCTGGTGCTGACTGTCAATAATAAAGTAGCTGGACCAGCTACTCATCATGAGCAGTTTCAGGAAAAAATACCAACTCCAAACTGAGGCATATAAATGAAGGTTTCCAGGGTAGCAGCACCAAGTTATCTCACCTGGGGATGTGAGTTTCCTGTACAGGGTATAGGGAGACAAAATGGGCTCTTTTTACCCTTTCTGACTTAATTTCTTCCATCCAGCTGTGAGAATTTCTGTAATTAAAGGAGAGATGGCACAATCATGTCATTATTAGAAAGAACACACCATCTGCACAGTTGGAAGCTTGTTAGAAGGCTCCAGATCTGAGATAGTCCTTTCTGTTATCTGTATGATGTGCAGTTACACACAAAGAGATGAGATTAGCATCAGCATTAGCATATCCTTTCTTTCTTCTGACCTTTTTTCCCAAAAGATGGGTAGTGACTAATTGGGCAGAGTTCCTTCTTAAAACCTGCCATGTTCAGTTACAGACATGCAATAAAATATCTTTTTTTAATGAAGATGCTGTTGCAGAGGTTGATCTAAATTTCCACTCAATCTCTGGAAATCAGGGATTTATCAAACTGCCTGTGCAACCAACTAACAGGATGCTGTTGTTTGGCCATTACTGGCTTGTTGAAAGCAAATGTCTGGTCTCTTGAAAGCACTGTGCTAGGGTAGGCATCCTTCTTGAGCAATCTAATTGGAATAAATTGAAATGGCATGACCAGAACAGCTGTCTGAAATAAACCTTTTAGGGATTTAGCATGTCTTTAATGAATTATGTAGCCATAAATTCAAATGCTGCAGATTAGAGCAGCAGAAGGTCCTAATGAATGGACTAAAGTCGTCTTAAACCCAGCAAACAATTTGAGTGTTTAACATTTTAATTTTTAAAAATTTTTACTTTTCCTTTCTGGAGCAGTGGAGAAGCCAAATTCCCCTGTCCATGGACATCTGTGCTTTGCTGGAGGGCAGGATCAGGGCTGAGCCAAATGGTGCTTTTGCACTCCTCCCTGGACTTTATATTGATAGATGAACAGTTTTTCTCTTTCAAAGTGATAATTAACTGCTGTGAGTTTGATCCTTCACATTGGTAAATTATCACTGTATATTTAAATGAGATTAATAAATATGACCATGAAGTAAATGTTTACTTTAGACAGTGAGGGATAAATTATTATGGTCCTAGTGTTGTCATACTACTCAAGTTCCTGCTTGACTGCTCTTTCTTGGGATGTAAACAGCTTATGAAAGTCAAGTTGTGTACTTATCTTACAAATGTCAAGCCTCAAATACTATTTGCTAGTACACCTTTTCAAGACAACTACACCAAACAGTGTTTTGAAGTCATTAATCAATTGAGTCTGCTGCACCCTGGAAAGAGCCACTCGGTACCATGCATGTCTCTAATCTCTGTTTACCTTTCTGCCTTACCCAGTGCTTATCCTGTGCTCAACCTTGTGTGTGTTTATTGTAGGTAATTCCAGAGGCGAGTGCTGGGGAGGATCCACATGTTATCCACACACCCTTTGAAGGAGTGGATGATTTTTTTATACCACCTACAAATCTTATTATTAATCATGTTAGGTGAGAAATTATTTTAATGAATAATAATGGTGACCATGCTGCTCTATTCTCATAACCTTAAAGCACTTAACAGATATGGATGAATGAATGAATGAATGAATGAATGAATGAATGAATGAATGAATGAATTTGTCATGAATCTTAACTATGTTTATCCCCATTTCCACACATGAAATGGAGAAATGGTTGAGGAAATTGCCAGCAGTTATTCAGCTAATCAATAAAACAGCAAGAAACAATCCTGGACTTCCCTTAGACCATGCACAGGCATTCAAACCTCACCTTAGTCAGCCATCCCTCCCTGCAGCTTATGGCACACTGCCCTGGCTTACTTGTGCCAGGAATTTGATGGCCCAAAAATCACCTTCCTTGCCACAGAACTGTTACAGATCTGGGCAGAAACCTGTGTCAAGGATATATTGCTTGAAGTGGCAAAAGTGTACTCTGCTGAAGCATAAGGTGTGCTTCTTTCACCTGTTTCCAACTTGTTCAAGTATTGGATTTGGCTGGAGCAGAAAAATTGTATGTGCTGCACATAAAATAAATAAATAAATAAATAAAACACCTCCATGAACCATCAGTTTTGAATGTTAATGTGATGTAGTGGTTAATGAGGTTGTGTAACTAACATACTAATAACCTGGAGTAATACTGGCTGCTTCCCAGCAGGCACAGGAAGCCTCCCATTAACATAATCAAAATTGATGATAATTGCAAAGCAATCTATACTATTCTTTCCGTGTTATAACATAACAACTGTTTAACCATCTTCTGTCCTCTATATAGTTTAATTTAAACACTCAAAAAACATAATGTAACTCTTTACAGTCACTGTAGGTTTTCTGCAGGAAACACCGAGAGGGAAGGGGTTACACTTGAGTATGTTGAGTCTGTTCCAAAATAAATAATTTTGCCTGCTGAAACACAAAATAATGATGTATGCCTCATGGCTGTCATTTTTAATTTCTCTCTACTTCGTATTTCCATTTTTTTTCACAATTTCATTATGACTAATAGTAGTGCCAGGAGGTAGATGACTCTGCTGAATGTTAAAGCCTGAGCTGAGAAGGTGAGAATTGGGTTCAAAGGCAGCAAGGTGGAACAGTTACACGTTTTTGTTTGTTTAATTCTCTTTTTGCTTAAGTGTGATTAGTTGGCTGAAATAATAAATATAGATTATAGTCTGTAGCTTTCCATATGCAAATGTTGTCCCTGATTTCCTGTTGAATTTTTTCAGGGCCAGATCTTTGTCCATTCTCTCTCACCCTCAGTACAGAAAAATAATTACTTGCAGGCTAATGAGACTCATTGAGATGATGTTCTAAATTCTCCACTCAGAAACAATAAATGGCAGTATCAGCATTTTCCAGAAAGGTGAACATTTAAGCAATTTCTTCCATGAGCCAAATAATATTTGTATGCAAATACACCTGCATATGTATTTCAGCTGCCTCCTATTTTAGATGGGTATCTAGAAATTTATCCATTTTTATTAGTTCCAAGGGTAGACTGTTGTCTATTAAAAACTCTCTACGAGCAAGGTTTACTTTGAGATTTCAGATCACAGATTTCATGCAAGGGCTGAGCCTCTTCTGCAACTGTGGGCACATAAAATATGTCCTGATCCATTTCTTTAAATGGAAGTTTATGATAAAAACATTTCTTAACTTTTTCAGGCATTTGGCCAAGTATTAAGAAAGTCTTGGAGAAAAAAAAAAAAAGCTGTAAGGGAAAGCACTTTTTAAAGTGTACTTAAAATGCATTCATCCAGGAGAAATACAAGTGTCATATCCAATTTCCACACACGCAGTGCACTACAACTTTCCACTGCAGATACTTTCTGAAGTCTCTAATGGATATGAGTATAATGGGGAAATGAAAGGCTTAGCCCAGTGATTTTCATGGGATCACACACTACATTGGCTCATTCTGTAGAAGTGAAATTATTGCTGAGTGTCTCGTTGACAGATAGATTAAGAATAAAGAAATAAACCTAGTGTTTCAAGCAAAATATGTATTATCTGCACAGAAGCATATTGTCTTCAGCATTCACAAGGCAATTTTACATCTTTTGAGGAAGAGATACAACACTAAGCACTCACTTCATTTCCCTCTGTCTGCATTGAATGGATGAAAAGATACTCGATGTAAAATTAGTTTTTTTAAGTCAGTGTCTGTGAATCCAGGGGAACATAAACAGGCTGTTGCTAAGGGCTCCCTCAAATTAAGCAGAAACCTTTCTTGGTATTCTTGACCTTTTCTTATCTTCAGCAAAGGTCAGATGTGCTGCAGCGTATATCTTTTACAGAACATTTATCCTCTGCTCACTGTTTCTTGCCCTGTCTTGAGACAGAAAATAAAGACCCCTTATCTTCAGGGCACCCTGGTTATGTTTCTAAAGAAATGTTTTACACCTTCCCTGGGCTGGCAGGATTTAAGAGTCTGCTCTGCACTGCAGCCTTGCCACCTCCTGCAGTGGTTCCTAGGCACCATGGTACAAAACACACACCACAGCTTCCCTCTGGTGCTGTCAGTTAACAGATGAGATTAGATATGGTCTTCATTCAGTGGTTATGCATTATATTGTACACAGCTATATTTATTATATATAGTTACTCTCTGGCCCCAACCTGGCATCAATATGCTTTATTTTGAATCCTTTTCTATTTTGAGATTGAAGGCTTGAGTATATATTGAATTTCATCATCTCAGACAGATTAAATGCAAACCTGGTCAGTATTAGCCTACTGAACACCCAAACCTTGATATAATTTCTGTAGAAATTGGTCTTCCCAATATAAGATCTTGGCTCTTGAAGATTCAAACAAGCTAAGCACATATTCAAATTTCCAGGATCAGGTTGCTAATTTGAACTGAAATATATTCCTCCTTCTAGGATGTTTTAGAAGCCCTAACACAAGACATTTCTTACAACAAGAGACAGTATTATGGCACACGCTTCCAAAACCCGCAGAATTAAAGGTTCCCAGTTCTGCTGACTTTTCTCTTTGCTCAGGCATGTCACCATGTCTCCAGAGGTGACGTCAGTGTCTTGTTTTCTGTCTCAGGTTTGGCTTCATTTTTAACCAGACAAAACAAGCAGTTCACAAGATTGACCTGGAAACTGTGACCCACATCAAGACCATCGACCTCCAAGCCTACAGCTGCGTGCCTCAGGCCATGGCCTACACACACCTGGGTGGCTACTACTTCGTGCAGTGCAGGAGGAAGCGCTCGGCACCGCTGCAGCTCATCATCGACAGCGTCACCGACACCGTCATCGGCCCCAATGGCGCCGTGGCGGGCGCGCCCCACGTGTCGCCCGACGGGCGCTACCTGGTCAGTGCCGACCAAGGCAGCGGCAGGATCAGCGTCCAGGCTCTAACTGTCCGAGGGGAAATCAAGTTGATTTATGATTTAAAAACAAACATACACGTTTCTGATGTCACGTTTCAACCCTCTTTCACTGAAGGCAATCAGTACTATATATATGCTACTTCACATCTGCAGACAGATGTGCTTTTTGTAGAGCTGTCAACAGGCATAATGAATGTACTGAAGAATTTAAAGGACCCTATCACACCCAAAGACTGGCCCTGGAGCAGCTACAACAGAATTATGAAAGACAGTGGATTATTTGGACAGTATCTCGTTACACCAGCTAAAGATTCTTTGTTTGTTATAAATGGGAGACAAAATACATTACGCTGTGAGGTTTCAGGTATAAGGAGGGGTAACACAGTGGTTTGGGTTGGGGAGGTATGAAAGGGCAGTAGCAGTGGAGCCTTCAGCAGGCAAGGACCAGTTGGACCTTTACACTGCAGGAAATGAGCAGTAGCATTGTATATTTTTACACTGGGAAAAAAAAAAAGACAAAAAAACCCTGTATAGGCTTCATGGTACAACACTGGTCTACTTGCAAGTTTTATAATATAAGGTATGCTCTGCTAATAGGAAGTGGTTTTGAAGGGATAGTTTTTATTTGTGGGTGTGATTTGTGGTTATGAGAAAAATGCTGAGAAGCGAATATCTCCACTGAGATATCATACAAGCCACGAAATTTAGTAATTCTGTAGATCAAAACAGATTTTGATTTTCCATACTGAGGAGCTTTTATGTTATGTCCAAGCATCAGTTTTCTTCCCTTATCCCTTGCCTGTTGGCTGCACTGACTACCCCTCCCCAGCGCAGGGAGACGGCAGTAGCGAGGATTATTCACCTCTGAATATTCACCTTTGGATGATGAGGGAAAGCAAACATCAGAGCACTTTCCAACTCAGAGAAACTAAGAGAGTGATTTAATGAAAACTGATCAGTTTTCTTTGCAGGGTGGCTTTGAGAGGATTCACAGATGTGATTTCAGAAGGAGGCATCACAGAAATAGTAACTGTCAGCTCGCTTGCTTCTGCACTTCATTTTGCTCTTAGTCCTACTGAAGGCAATGGGATGAGTTCCCCCTCTTTCAGTGCATATTTGTGTGATTGTATTTGAGAAATTTATCATGAAATATCCAGGCCATTACCCATCCAGGCCTGGGTAGAAGCCAGAAAATACTGATTTGGGGCCCGGGGGAGGTGTCAGAGTTTATGTAAACAGTTTTGTTGAGAAGGTGGCGTTAGTCTTTCCACAGCTCATGAGTGTGGTCAGTTCAGGAAAAATATGCAAAATCTGCTCTTTGGGGGCAGAGAAGAGAATTAGTTATGGTTATTCCCATTGGAAACAGCAACACTTCTAGAAATCATTGGTTTTTCTCATTAAATATTTAGGAGCACTGAAACCATTTGGTTCTTCATAAAATAACAGTTAAAATAACAGAGATTATTTTTAATAGAAAACTCACTTATTTTCTAGTCATAGCCTTAATTTGCCTATTTCTTCTCAGAACAACCAGGAAACAATTTTTCTTCATATCTTTTTTTCTTTCTGTTTATAGTACACTTGTTTATAGTCAATTATCTTTTAGTTATGAGCAAAGACATTCTTGTAAAAGCAGCTGAATTATCCCAGAATGCAACAGCTGACATTGAGAAAGTTCAGACGAGTTCCCATAAAAACATAGCCATTTATTTGCACACTTGGAAGATATTAAAAACTTTTCTACTTGCATTTTTCTAACTTTCTATATCCATCACCATGAAGTAATGAGGGCAAAAGCAGCTGTGGCAGCAGAGCCAGGCAAGAAGTCCTGCCACCCAAGCAATTGTAACCATCACTTGGAAAATGGGGTCTGCAGGTGGGTGAAACCTCTCTGCAGGTAAATATCAGTAGCATTGGAGTCACCCACTGGCCTCTGGAAAAACCCAGCTTGGTTTGCTGAGGACCTTGTTGCCCAGAGTCTGTAAAAAGCTGCCCTTGAACACATGCAGTCATAGGTAGTGGAGTCATAATTATTTCCCTCCATAGATGCTTAAGTCACCCATTCCACAACACACACAGAAGGATTTTAAGCAAGAAGGATACCACGTAACACTGGCAATCTTTGCTTTAAATGTTTATCACAACAGCAGCATTTTAGCATGGCTGTAGACCTGAGGTATTTTACACCATTTCAGTTCTGTAGAGAATATAAAAATCTGTTCTGACAGATGAAGAAGGGGAGCTGAATCCTATTAATTCATTAAACATGGAGTCCTTGAAATTGTCCTTCAACACCGATATGCTGAATCCTACATTTCTTTCATTTACGAGCCATAGGGGTTAGAAGAGACTCTTCCATCATTGCAGCACAGACATGTGAAACAGATCAGCATAGCCTTCCTTTAGCGATGCATGGTGCCCATGGTCTTGTACTCATCCCATTAGGAAACATATCCCATGTCAAAGAAAGGAGAAGACCAGCTTTTTAAGTACCTTTAAATATGCACAACTCCTTTCTTGAACAAAGCTGTATCCATACATTACAGCCATCCTAAATGTCTTTTACCAAGGCCAAACACTGCTCTCGTGTTACCTTTTATGACTTCTTGAGTATTTTATTATGCCTATGGTAATTTTTCCCTGTAGAGATGTTCATTGTGTCATAGATCAAGCAAATATTACTTTTCTAAGAATATTAAAAGAAAACAAATCTGTATATATATGTTCAGATAAATATTCTTGAGGCTGGTTTATATATAGGCTGTGAAAGATGTATAACAGACCTCACTCTTCCTGTTTGTCACAAAGTATTGGAATAGCATTCACTTGAAAAAATCTCACTTGGACCTTCCAAAGATGTTCCCTTTGTTCCCTCTCCAGCCCAAGTTCTAGTGATGTGTCTTTCTAAAGTATCCTAATGGTTATATATCATACTTAGAAAATGAAGTATAATTTAGATTGTCCACAATACTTGTGAGCAGTTCCAATGACAGTCAAATCTGACATTAAAGTGCTGCACATTTGTTACTCTGATTTTTTTTTTTATGACACAGAAATTTTATATATACTCAAAAAAAATGTTTCAGCTCATATTTGCCTTTCAACTGTAAAAAAGAGACTAAATTTCCTTGTGGGCAATTTCTTTCCCTATCCTTTTGGTTCTCCACCAATTCACACTAAATTCCTAGTTACTAACTTATTAGTTAATCATGGTGATTAATCAAAATTGATCTAAATTGAATTAATGACCTTTTCATTATTCTATACACTCACATGTCAGTAGGATGTTCTGACACTAGAATAATGGGAAAAAAAATCCTTGGTTGCCACTAAGACTCCAGTGCCAAGATCAGAATGGCATTTGCCATTCATTACTGAGGTTAAACAGTATGATAGAAATGCTGTTTTGTCTTAGAATTTCCCTCAATATTTTCACTTTCTGAATGGAAGTGCCTATTCAGAAACCATCCATTTTAAAACTGGAAGCAAAACTCACAAGTCCTTTATTTGGAATCTGTGATCGTTAACATATCCTTATCATTAAATACTTTATTTTTTTATACCACTAAAAAAAATCAACAAAAGCACCAAAATATTTTGGTGGGCTTGTCTACAGAATGAGTGGGAGATAGGAACTGGCAGGGTGGGTTTGTCCCCCCTGCAAAAGAGCCTTTGTGAGGAACTATTGTAAAACACTCAGCCTTGAAGGTCTTGGGCCATTTTGCTGCATTGACCTCCATGAACACAGCTTTGCCCAAGAGGAACACCAGTCCTGATGACCTGTTGACAGGTACTTATTTACTTGATTTATACGGTGATTAGGTCTTAGCTGCCAGAGTGCCTGGTAGTGCACTGGGTGCTGTGTAAAATGGATAAAGCAGGTCAAGATCTCAATTCTTTAAGGAGATAAAGGCTCATTCCCTGTATGATCCTACAGCAGGTCAACAAAATGAACAGAACACAGGAACAGAGGCTGGGGAGACCTGTGTGCAATAACCTGGTTATTGATAAGATATGTAGGCATGCCATAATGCCTTTGTATTTTTTCCCTAAGACCGCCTTTGTCCCTCCCTGTACAAGGCTTTGTGACCATCTCTCAGGTGACAGGAAGAGCTGTCACCCTTCACTGACCTCCCAAGACCCTGGGATTTCCCTATCTGCCATGTACCCTTATGAGTCACCACCTCACTCTCTGGTAATTGCTTTCTTAGAAAACCTGGGGGTAAATCCTGCTTTTCTTAAGGAAGTGCACTATGCAAGGCAAGCAGCAGCACTGGCTTTCTGTATTGGATTGCAATTCCCACTCTGTTTCCCATTTGAAACCAGCACAAATCACCTGACTCACTGCTTTGTACATTTTCCCATGGGCCAAAAAGAAAAAAAAAAAGCCCCTATAGTGTGGTTAAGTTATGGGAAATAGAGATCAGTCTTAAAAATGGCTCTTCCAGTTCTGCTATTTGCTCACTAGAGCTCATTTCCCCCAGCCTGCCAAGCTCTAACATACAGAAGTACATCCCCTCTGCCAGTCGTGGTCTTCCACAGCAGGTACCAGCAGCAGCTGTTTCTAGAGTTAATCATCAGAGAATGGTTTGGGTTGGAGGAGACTTTAAGGTCATCTCATTCCAAGCCATGCCATAGGCAGGGAAACCTTCCACTAGACCAGGTTGCTTCAAGCCCTGTCCAACCTGGCCTTGAACCACACTGCCAGGGATGGAGCATCCACAATCCACGTTTCACACCTGCTTTCTGCTTTGTGCACCTGTAACACAAGGTACTTCAGATATGACGTGGGCACAGCTCCTGCCCATCACTGCGATGTCCCACTCAGCTGCTGCCAGCTCCCCCCAGCCACTTCTGCAGAAAGGGATTTTTGTTTATGTTCTTTCTGTTGTTAATGTTTTGAAGTAGACTGAAATGAAACAGGGACATCTCTCCATCTGGAGACCAGGAAGACTCATGTTCCTTCTATACACAAGATGGTATGATGGTGTGTGGGTTGAAAAATTCCCAGCCAAGCATTGCAAGCCCAGGAATGGACTGCTCCTCTCTGCTAGTGGAGGAAAAACCATCTGATGAAGGAGCTGCAAATACAGACCCAATATTACTCATTAATTTTTTTATCTCGTGCAATAAGAGCTGTCTGTGCAGACAAGCTTAATGCATTGGCCAAAATACCCTCAATTCTGGCTTCACAGTACGGTGAGATTTACAGCCTGTACAAGAAGAGCAGGATGGTTTGGGCAGGACCAGTGCAACTTGTAAAGTTCTTGGCCCAATCTACTCTCTGCACCAGCTGAATTAATGGCCATTGCTCAGCTCCATGACAGCAAAAGGTCACCACAATGCAGCCCAGAGAGAAGATGTAGCAGTGCCTTCACACCGCTGTTAATAACTCTCGATGCCTTGGC